GTATTTTTTTGGGGGGGGGGGGGGGTCTGTGACAATGACAATAATCAATCATTTTGAGAAATTAACTGCAGTTATGCAGCATTAAGTGAGATTACAAAATCTAAGTCTTTTTCTAGAGTTTTAAATATTTGTTCATTCATGTTGTAGTTATGCTGCAGTGATTGTACCACAGTTTTAGGCACGCTGTGTCATGTCAGGCCTAAAAAGCAAAATGTCCCGTTGCTTATTGTTTTAATACACATGTGTATGTGAGCTGTAAAGAAGACTGAAGAGTGAAGAACACACTTTTTCTGGTGGGAGTTGGAGCGGCGTGTGCACAGGATGGCCCCCACGACCACAGCGATGATGGTGAACACACCAACAGAGACAATCACCACGATCACCAGAATATGATTCTCCTGGCTGCCCGTGATGCCTGGTTTATCTGACACAGAGAGAGAGACAGCGTTACATCACCACAGCTCTTAATGAGTCACGTGCCTGTCTTTAAAGAGTGTGTCTTCCTGTATACCCATGTTTGATCCAATCCCGTGCTCCGGTAGAGTCGGGTGACCGGGTTTGACTTGCAGCCCTACAGACAAGACATCAAAGAACTTCATTTAACTGAATATATTATATATTATGTTTTATATGTGTGTTTTTATTTAATATATTAATAGATTCTATATTTGTAACTTATTCAAATAAATATATAATAAAATTTAATTTAACATATTTAGCAAAAGGATGTATGTTGTTGTATATAAATTGTATGAATATTTAAAATCTTTAAAAATTATTATAAAATACATATATATAGAATTATATGTGACCTTGGACCACAAAACCAGTCATAAGGGTCAATTTTTTTAAATTGAGAGCTGAATAAATAAGCTTTCCATTGATGTATGGTTTGTTAGGATAGGATAATATTTGGCCGAGATACAACTATTTGAAAATCTGGAATCAGAGGGAGCAAAAAAATCTAAATATTGAGAAAATCAGCTTTAAAGTTGTCCAAATGAAGTTCTTAGCAATGCATATTACTAATCAAAAATTAAGTTTTGATATATTTACGGTAGGAAATTTACAAAATAATACTTAATATCCTAATGATTTTTGGCATAAAAGAAAAATTAATAATTTTGACTCATACAATGTATTGTTGGCTATTGTTAAAAATATACCTGTGCTACTTATGACTGGTTTTGTGCTCCAGGGTCACATATGTATACACACTTTTTATTTAATGATAAAAAAATGTATAAATACATAAAACTCAATGTTAACTAAATGCATAGAATGCATAAAGAATTTTTATATTTATTTATATTTCAAGTATATATTTAACTTGAAATTCAAATAAATTCAATTCAATTTAAATTTTATAAAAAAAATACATTTAATATAAATTTCATTTTTAGTGTTATATGGCAAAACTAAGCCTGTTTTAATGGCTGGTAACTGTTTTGACCATTAAACTTCTAAACATCTAATATAATATTTTACATATCTTATATGATATTATTTAATTATGTATTAATAATATGTATAATAATATTATAAATCATATGTATTCAATCATATTGGCATAATTAGTCAAAATTATTAATGCATTTAAAACAATGTCGTGTGTCTTTAATTTCCTTCTGCATTAGAAACGTGTTTAATTACCTTGATCACTTGACATTTTGTCCGATGGCTCAGCTGGAAACAAAGACAAACAGAATGAATAAATGAGCATCAGTTAAGTTTTAATAGGCGAGTCTAAACAAGGCTGGGGCTTTACCTTTCGGGGTGCGGAACTGCGCCGCGTCTGACATGGGTCCCATGCCTTTGGAGTTTCTCGCCTGGATCTTGAAGTAGTATGTGGTGTCCAGCGTCAGCCCCTGAATCTGATGGGTCAGTCTGTTTCCCACCACGGGCTCCACCACCCAATCATGGACCTCGGCGTTCACATCGGTGCTGTAGTAGATGATGTACCCTGAGAGACAGAGATTTATTCCACGTCTGAAAATTATCCTTTTCTGTTTGGATGCACGACTGGTTCTGTAAATCCTGTCATCGGCATCCATAATGTAAATCAGGCATGTCATGTCAGTCTAAAATTTGTTTCATGTCATGCAAATAATGTCACAATGCAAAATGATCTTCTAGTTGATTATCTTCAATTCATATTTTGTGGTGTAATATGACCGGGACATGGTTTTGGGGTACCTGTGATTTTGCCGTTGGCTTCAGTCGGAGGCTGCCAGTTGATGTTGATGATTCGAGGATTTCCCTCTTTACTGATCACAGTCACATCTTTCGGAGCAGAGCTGGGTACTACAAATCACATTAAAGGCAGAGAATACAAGCAAATACTGTAAAAAGGCTATTAATAAAAGCTTTGCTATAGCAATCTGTCCCAAAATCATCAGCTCTTATAGAAATTAATGGATGTAACTAAAGGGATTTGTTGATGAGGGTCGAGAAAATGTTGAATCTCATTTGTACTGAAAAACCAATAAAAATGCAAATAAGACATTAATTAAATATGCACAAATTTTGCATGCATCCTAAAATCTACACATCTGTTTTTGAATTTCATGTACTTCATCGCATGAATTTTTGATGATATAAACAAACAACAAAAAAAATTTAGAGAAAACCCATGTTTTGTCAACATCTACAGACAAATGATAAGAAATTATGAAATACATATTATATAATATGCAAGAGTCATAACATAATTGGGAACCTGTGTGGAAAAACTGGTGCATGCATGTTTAATGAGATAAAACTAGATTAAATGAGTTAAGTTGTTTTCATGAAAGAGAAAATATTATAGTAAAAATGTCATTTATTTCTGTATAATAGTAAAATGCTGTGAATGTGTGTGATCTTACTGGACTCAAAGGTGGTCCCGTGGGCCGTCATACTCCATGTACTGCTCCTGCGGCTCTTGGTCACCATAACGGAGAACTCATAAAGCGTGTTGGGCTTCAGAGCCGTTACCGTATGGAACAGAGACGTGGTGTTTGCCATCTGACAAAACAAGCAACAGACAAACACATTAAAAAAAGTTGATCACCGCATATTGTAACACATATGACTATTAAAAAATATATAGTATATACTATGTAGTATGCAGTAAGCAGTACACTAGTATTCCATTCCAAACAGGTATTTAATGCATTCTGAGCAAGTGAACACTAGAGGGCGCTCCAAGCACGGGAAAAAAACCTATAGTGAACTGAAATACTCTCTTCAGAATCAGTGTTATTTTAGTATCATCGAGCTACTATTATAGTTTTGACTAAAAGTTTTTGAATTAGTTTTTATTTTTAAATCTTCTCAAAGTTTTAGTAATTTTCTTGTGTTTTTGTATTTTGTTTTAACTGTCTATATATTTATTTAATTTAATATAATTTGATTTCAGTTTTAGTTATTTTAGCAAATTAAATGAAAAAGACAAATGTTGTCTTGGCAACTTTTTTCCCTCCATTTTACTTTGATTAACATTTATTTTATTTCAAGCAAATACAATTGTATGATTTTAGTTTTAGTTACTGCTACAGTCCTCTTTAGAACATCAGTTTAAGTGATGAAATAAAGCTGTTTTGAACACCAAATAAACCAATGTTATGAAATGTGACCTTGGACCACAAAACCAGTCATAATGGTCAATTTTTTGAAATTGAGATGTATACTTCATCTGAAAGCTGAATAAATAAGATTTCCATTGATGTATGGTTTGTTAGGATAGGACAATATTCTTAATCTTTACTTAATATCCTGATGATTTTTGGCAGAAAAGAAAAATCGATAATTTTGACCCATGCAATGTATTGTTGGCTATTGCTACAAATATACCCCAGAGACTTAAGACTGCTTTTGTGCTCCAGGGTCACAAATATGAACCCAAAGAGACGGTGGATACCTTGTATTTGGTGTTGGCGGGGATGTTGGTCTTCCAGCGGATAGTGTAATATCTGGAGTCGGTGATCTTCTGGTTCTTGGCGAGCGAGTTGTCGGCCCAGCTGACTTTGACTGTGTCCTGGCTGAGGACGGTGGCCTGAACGCCCACCGGGGGCAGCATGGGTGTGGGGTCAGGTGCTGGGGTGTATGGGTTATTAAAGAGTTCATAAAAATCAATATCAGGGTCTATGGGGTCTGACAGCAGCGTAATAAATGGAGAACAAAATAAAATAAAATAAAACAACAAAATCACATGGGTTTAAAAAATATGGAAGGATTGATCAGGGTTAGACAACATAAAATGGATTAATGGTTCAGTGGTGGACGAGTGAGAGGAAAAATGAATGAAAAAGAGAAAGAGTGATATTATTAGAATTAAAAAGCTCCATATTTAATTTAAAACAGTAGATATGCAAAAACATTGATTATAATTGGTGTCAAATGGACAATTTCTATTACAAGTCTTGGATTATGTTGCAGCATTTAAAGACATACAGAAAAAAACTCACTGAAAATTACAAGAAATAATACAAGTTTAATACTATTTAAGCTCTAAGGTCAGTATCTGCAACAATTACCACAGAAAATTATTTCAACTCATTTCTCAGATTTGAAAAAGACAAAAATCAAGTACACACAGTGATGTGTGGTACATGTTGGCTAAATCATCCTTTTAAGCGTGTTGAGCAGTAATAATAATAATAACTATTATTATTATTCAAAATATAACAATATTAAAAGACGAGAAAAATAACAAAAGATACTATCACAATAATACTACTATACTGTAAAATAATAAAAATAATATTTATAATAGTATTTAAAAAGAAATATAACAGTGTTCAATAGTAATAATTATTCAAAATATTTTTTACTTTATTTGATTTATAAAAATACAAAAAAGATATTAATTAAAAAAAAATAAAAAAAATATTATTTTACTGTAAAAGACAAAAATGAATAGTAGCATTTATAAAATTAATGATATTAATAATAACTTTAATAAACATATACTTATAATAGAATTTAAAAATAAGTATTATATCAATATTTAATAATAATAATTATAATCATTATTATTCAAAGTATTTTTACATTATTTGATTTATATAAATATAAAAAAGATAAAATATAAAAATATATTACTATTGCAATAATACTATTCTACTGTTATATATAAAAAAATAATAATAGTACGTTTTATAATAGTATTTAATGATAGTAATGATAATAATACTAATTTTAAAACTATAATAATAATTATCTGTCCTATTACAGTGTTTTTTTTGCTCATTTAAGAGGGGCAAATCCAAACGATCCTGTAATTAACAGCATGTTGCTGATCAATAGAGCTCTGAACATTTAATTAAGATACACCTGGAATTGCTATTGATTTTTCTGTGAAAATATCCACTGATTTTGTTGTCGTCAACAGCAACAACAGAAAACGCAGGCTCAGCAGAAAACAGCTATAAATGATTGTAGCAAACAAGCTAACGTTCATCCTCAACTCATTTCTGGGTCATTTTGTGCTCTAGCTTAGGAAACTCGAGAAAAGTTATGTGACGCCTAACAGAGTGGGATCTGATGTGAATCTCGACCTGACAGGACGGCAGGGGGTCTGGAAACCTCTAACAGCGGTGTTCGGCTGTCTGAGACATCTGACGTAAAGCCAATGAAAGAGAGACGTGAGCGCACATCACACCTGTAGGTTTGGATGTGTGTCCCAGAACTGAGGGGGGCAGACGGATGCGCGGTATCTGTCACCTCACATTTAACACACACACACACACACACGAGCGAGGAAGAGATTGTAGTTTCTCTTCACTACAAAACAACGTCTGACTGACTTCTAGAGCCTGAAGCGTTACAGATTTACACCACGCTTTGTTTCTGGTGCAAAAACGCAAACATGTCTGATGCTAGATATAAGAGAGACACAGTTAAGCATGTTATATGTGACTCTGGACCACAAAATCAGTCATAAGGGTAGATTTTTTTTAATTGAAGTTTATGCATCATCTGAAAGCTGAATAAATATTTGGCTGAGAGACAACTATTTGAAAATCTGGAATCTGAGGGTGCAAAAAAATCTAAATATTGAGAAAATCACCTTTAAAGTTGTCCAAATGAAGTTCTTAGCAATGCATATTACTAATCACAAATTAAGTTTTGATATATTTACAGTAGGAAATTTATAAAATATCTTCATGGAACATGATCTTTACCTAATATCCTAATGATTTTTGGCATAAAAAAAAA